TAGCCTCCCTGCATAAGCGGTACCTAAATTTCCTACTTGACAGATGCAGCTGTTTTTCGGGCTGCAAAGGTCGACAGCAAGCTAAACAAAAAGTCAGGAGTAGGCTTGGGCGATCAAGAAAAAAATTGGTTCTAAACTCGTTTTGTTTCTAGGGTGCGAAATTCTGAGGACTTCCGAAATTTAAGATTTCAAAATTTCCGAAATTACGAATCGATTCGTTAATGGCGGACGCGATTGCGCAATATGCTAAAAAAACCTCCAAATGGGACAGGGGGAACTTCTGAAGCTTCCCTCTCCCTCTGTTGTTGACTGTTGGTGTGATAAAACAAACAACAACTATATTATATTATATTATTATATTATTATATTATATTATATTATATTATTATAATATTATATATATTATAATATATATATTATATTATATTATATTATATTATATATATTATATTATTATATATTATATTATATATATTTATATTATATTATAATATAATATTATATTATTGTATATTATATTATAATATTATTATTATATATAATATATATATCACACACATATATATTATATAATTATATATATTATATAATATATATATATTATATAATTATATAATGTACTGCAATATGATAATAATATGATATTTATATATTTACATTACTTGTAATATTACTAATGTTGAGACTCAGCATTCTGGCACCATACCTACTACTAGTAGTAGGAGAAGAAGAAGAAGTGATGCAGAAGCAGAGTATAATATAATAATAATATAGTAATATAATATATAATATAATAATATAATATAATATACAATACAATGCACCAGACATACAAAAATAATTACGAAATAATTACGAAAATTGAAAAAAATTGTTTCGATTCTTAATTACTCCTCACACTATTCCTGCATGGCTCGATATTGGATCGTAAGCTAATTTAAATACGAATTAATAACGAATTACGAAATTAACGAACTGGATCGCCCAAGCCTATTATATAGGTATAAAATGCAATACTTTGTGTGTTGTCTAGATATTATATAGGTATAATTATAATAATAATTATAGTGCAAGTTGAATACATGTTCCCCTTTGTACGTATCTAGTTTGATCCTGAGGTCAATGCTGGACTTTGCTGTAGCATGTTGCACACATAAAAGTTTATTTATTTATTTATTTATTTAATGCATTTGTTGACCGCCGCTCTCAGCCCTAGAGCGACTCGCGGCGGTGTACAACATATAAAAACAGTTTACAAAAAGCACAGAGTACATCAACAAACCATATAACACATTAATCTAACTTACACTAACTAATCCGCACCGTCACAACATAGGAACCTACCAGTCTCATAGTCCATATTCCGTTCCGATTGTCATTGTCAATTAGTCTGGCACTTAGTTAAATGCCTTCTCGAATAGCCAGGTCTTTAAGCTCTTACGGAAGGACATAAGGGAGGGCGCCTGTCTAATGTCAGCAGGGAGAGCGTTCCACAGCCGGGGGCCACCACCGAGAAGGCCCTCTCTCTCGTCCCCGCCAGGCGTGCCTGTGAGGCAGGCGGGATCGAGAGAAGGGCCTCCCCAGACGATCTCAAGGCCCTCGTGGGCTCATAGGCCGAGATGCGGTCCGAAAGGTATTTTGGGCCGGAACCGTTTAGGGCTTTGTAGGATAACACCAGCACCTTAAATTGGGCCCGGTAGCAAATCGGCAGCCAGTGGAGCTGGAACAACAAGGGCGTTGTATGCTCCCTGCGTCCCGCTCCTGTTAGTAACATGGCTGCCGCGCGCTGGACTAGCTGAAGCTTCCGGGCCGTCTTCAAGGGCAGCCCCACGTAGAGAGCGTTGCAGTAGTCAAGGCGGGATGTGACCAGAGCGTGTACCACCGTGGCCAAGTCAGACTTCCCAAGGTACGGGCGCAGCTGGCGCACCAGCCTAAGCTGTGCAAATGCTCCCCTGGTCACCCCTGAAACCTGGGGATCCAGGCTCAAAGATGAATCCAGATTTGGATTGCTGAACATGTTGGCCGCCTTCCTTTTCACATTAACCCCAAACCAAGCAATTTGCAGAGGTTTGATGGATGAGGAGAGAGTCTGTCTCTAAGCAATTTCCTTTCTTCCGATGTACGGCGAAGGGAAGCGTTTCTATATCTCAAAGCCTTGGGGGAAACTACGATCTGGAGCCTCTAATGAAGTCATCGATTCAACTTACGTAGTAGCTGAGCCCACGATGGGCTGGCAGCCCTAGTTTAGTCACTAGTAATAATGTAATTTTAAGATAGTAAGAAAAGAAGGAAGGATGGTGCAACAAGAAGCATTAGTTTGCTTGAGAACATATACCAGTGGTTCTCAACCTTCCTAATGCCGCGACCCCTTGATCCAGTTCCTCATGTTGTGGTGACTCCCAACCATAACATTATTTTCGTTGCTACTTCATAACCGTAATCTTGCTACTTGTTATTAATCGTAATGTAAATATCTTTTAAGCAGAGGCTGGATGGCCATCTGTCAGGGGTGATTTAAATGCAATATTCCTGCTTCTTGGCAGAATGGGGTTGGACTGGATGGCCCATGAGGTCTCTTCCAACTCTTTGATTCTATGATTCTATGATCTATACAGGATGTATTTTCATTCACTGGACCAAATTTGGCACAAATACTAGATACCACCAAATTTGAATACTGGTGGAGTTGGGGAGGATTGCCTTTGTCATTTGGGAGTTGTAGTTGCTGGGATTTATACTTAACGTACAATCAAAGAGCATTCTGAACTCCACCAATGATGGAATTGAACCAAACTTCGCACTCAGAACTCCCATGACCAACAGTAAATACTGGAAGGGTTTGGTGTCCATTGACCTTGAGTTTGGGAGTTGTAGTTCACCTACATCTAGAGAGCACTGTGGATTCAAACAATGATGGATCTGGACCAAACTTGGCACAGATACTCAATATGCCCAAATGTGGACACTAGTGGAGTTTGGGGAAAATAGACCATGACATTAGGAAGTTGTAGTTGCAGGGATTTATAGTTCACCTACAATCAAAGAGCATTCTGAACTCCGCCAATGATGGAATTGAACCAAACTTCGCACTCAGAACTCCCATGACCAACAGTAAATACTGGAAGGGTTTGGTGTCCATTGACCTTGAGTTTGGGAGTTGTAGTTCACCTACATCCAGAGAGCACTGTGGACTCAAACCATGATGGATCTGGACCAAACTTGGCACGAATGTTCCATAATCCCAAATATGGACACAGATGGAGTTTGGGGGACATTGACATTTGGGAGTTGGGCCACCTTGGGCCACGAGGACAGTCGGATAAGAAATAAAAATTATTATTATTATTTGAAACACAACAAGATGAGTCCACAGCTGACAGATAGTAATTTTATTAGTGTTGATTGTTTTTAAGTGCAGGCCAAGCTCCTTAGGCAATGCACCAAGTGTGCCAAGCATCACTGGGACCACCTTGACTGGCTTATGCCAGTCTATACTATTATTGTTGTTGTTATTATTGTTATTGTTATTGTTATTATTTGATATACAACAAGATGAGTCCACAACTGACAGATAGTAATTTTATTAGTGTCGATTGTTTTTAAGTGCAGGCCAAGCTCCTTAGGCAGTGCACCCAGTGTGCCGATCACCACTGGGACCACCTTGACTGGCTTATTCCAGAGTCTATACTATTATTATTATTATTATTATTATTATTATTATTATTATTATTATTATTATTATTATATACACAACAAGATATTATTAGTATTAGTATTAGTATTAGTATTTGATATACAACAAGATGAATCCACAGCTGACAGATAGTAATTTTGTTAGTGTCGATTGTTTTTAAGTGCAGACCAAGCTCCTTAGGCAATGCACCCAATGTGCCAATCACCACTGGGACCACCTTGACTGGCTTATGCCAGAGTCTATACTATTATTATTATTATTATTATTATTATTATTATTATTATTATTTGATACACAACAAGATGAGTCCACAGTTGATATTAATTTTATTAGTGTCAATTGTTTTTAAGTGCAAGCCAAGCTCCTTAGGCAATGTACCCAGCGTGCCAATTACCACTGGGACCACCTTGACCGGCTTATTCCAGAGTCCATTATTATTATTATTATTATTATTATTATTATTATTATTATCATCATCATCATCATCATCATCATTATTATTAGAAACACAGCAAGATCAGTATACAGCAAACGAGGTCACTCTCTGGCTGTTATATTGGATCACACATCGGACACTTCACAAAAGTCTAGGACTGTGTGATGTGTCGGCGAATAATGCGTGCAGATCCCAGTAAGGTGGCCTATTGCAGCTGGCAGATGGTAATCTTGTCAGCGCCGATTGTGTTTAAGTGCAGGCCAGGGTCTTGAGGCACTGCACCCAGTGTGCCGATCACCAGTGGGACCACCTTGACTGGCTTGTGCCAGAATCTTTGCAATTATTATTATTATTATTATTATTATTATTATTATTATTATTGTTGTTGTTGTAAACACAACAAGATGAGTTCACAGCAAACAAGGTCACTCTGCTGACTGTTGTATTGGGTCACATGCCAGACCCTTCCCAAGTGTCTAGGACTGTGTGATGTATCGGCGAATAATGCGTGCAGATCCCAGTAAGTTGGCCTTCTGCAGCTGACAGGTGGTAATCTTGTCAGCTCCGATTGTGTTTAAGTGCAGGCCAAGGTATTGAGGCACTGTACCCAGTGTGCCGATCACCACTGGGACCACCTTGACTGGTTTGTGCCAGAGTCTTTGCAGTTCGATCTTTAAATTATTATTATTATTATTATTATTATTATTATTATTATTATTATTGAGGCACACATTGTTGGGAATGAGATGCAAGGTGTGCATGACATACCCTTTGTTCTTCACCTCTTCTCTGAAACCTCATTCAATGGGAACTGTCGCTTCTCCCACTGCCATTGTTATTGACTTTCGAAAATGTCTTCCTTCCCAACAGACTCTTTGGTTCGATCTGCATCAGCGACTGTCGGACAGCGAAAACACAGCCTGCGCGGTGAGTATTCACAACACCCCGGTGGTCGCTCTCTTTGCAAAGAGAACTCATTTGCATATGCAGATCACAAGAATGGGTAAAGGGCCCTTTCAAGATACCTGTGTATGTATTCGTCGCAAACGCCATCTGCTGCAAATGTGGCTCGAAAGGTCTTTATTTATTTACAGTATTTATATTCCGCCCTTCTCACCCTGCAGAGGACTCAGGGTGGATTACGATATACATATACATGGTAAACATTCAGTTCCATAGACACACAACATATATAGACAGACACAAAGGGTATTTAACATTCCAGCTTTTTTCATGAGAGTATTCTGGCCACCAGGGGAGCTGTCGCTTCATCGTCCATTAGTGACAATGATCAAGTACTTCCTCATTCTTTGCATGCTTGCTGGAGATTTTTATGGCATTGTAAATTAGTTAAATTAGCCTTCCCGCATAAGTAGTACCTAAATTTCACTCCAGCCCGGGCTGGCTTCGAACTCATGACCTCTCGGTCAGCAGAGATTTTAATGCAACTGACTCCGAATGAGCTGCGCCACAACCCGGTCCTTTGCAATCTTGTGTTTCGGGGATAATTTTTGGATTGTAAGTAAGTAAAGCCAGGAGAGACCAAAATATAAGGGACATTCCTTCCTGTGACAGAGGAAGGGTGCAAAGGGGAAAGGTTAGTCTTTTGATTCTCCCAAAGTTCAATACTCCGGAGGGCCCAGTGGCACAGTGGATTAAACCGCTGAGCTGCTGAACTTGCTGACCAAAAGGTGAGCTCCCACTGTTAACCCAAGCTTCTGCTACCCTAGCAGTTTGAAAACATGCAAATGTGAGTAGATCAAAAGGTACCTCTTCTGTGGAAAGGTAATGGCACACCATGCAGTCATGCTGGCCACATGACCTTGGCAGTGTCTATGGACAACGCCGGCTCTTCGGCTTAGAAATAGAGATGAACACCAACCCAGGTCCATCATTTGTGGGGGTTGCATTGGTTTCTGGAAGTCAGTGAGGGTACTGCAATTCCCATCATCCATTGTCAATCCTCCCCCAAACTGCTACAGGGCATAAAGTACCTCATTTGGGGGGGGGGGGGGTCTGTGTGCTAAGTGTGCTCCAGGTTCATCATTTGTGGGGGTCGCAGTGGTCTGTGGAAGTTGGTAAAGGTACAAATCGAGTAAAGGTACTGCAAATCCCATCCTCCATGATCCGTTCTCCCCTAAATCGTGCCATGACATAAAACGGGTCATGGCAGGGGAGGTCTGTGTCCCAAGTTTGCTCCAGGTCCATCATTTGTGGAGGTTGCAGTGGTTTCTGGAAGTGAGTGAAGGTACTGCAATTTACATCATCCATTGTCAATCCTCCCCCAAACCCCTGCAGGGCATAAAGTTTTGTCCAGGTCCATCATTCGTGGGGGTCACAGTGATCTGTGGAAGTCGGTGGTGTATCAGGTGAAGGTACTGCAAATCCCATCATCGTGCTTTAGGAGGAGCCATGGTCCATCCTCTCCCAAACCCCTACCAGGGCATAAAGTGGGTCATTGGTGGGGGGGGGGGGGATCTGTGTGCCAAGTTTTGTCCAGGTCCATCATTTGTGTGGGTCACAGTGATCTGTGGAAGTCGGTGCTGTATCAGGTGAAGTTACTGCAAATCCCATCATCTGTGGTCGATCCTCTCCCAAACCCCTGCAGGGCATAAAGTGGGTCACTGGGAGGTCTGTGTGCCAAGTTTTGTCCAGGTCTGTCATTTGTGGTGGTCACAGTGATCTGTGGAAGTCGGCGCCATATCAGGTGAAGGTACTGCAAATCCCATCATCCGTATTTTAGGAGGAGCCATGGTCCATCCTCTCCCAAACCCCTGCAGGGCATAAAGTGGGTCATTGGTGGTGGGGGGGTTGTGTCCCAAGTTTTGTCCAGGTCCATCATTTGTGGTGACCACAGTGGTCTGTGGAAGTTGGTGCCGAATCAGGTGAAGGTACTGAAAATCCCATCATCCGTGGTCCATTCTCCCCCAAATCACACCAGCATGTAAAATGGGTCTGGGGGGGGGGGGTGTCTGTGTGCCTAGTTAAGTCCATGTCCCTCATTCGTGGCGATCACAGTGGTCTGTAGACGTCAGGGCCCCATTTGCAAGCATACACCACCACCCACATACATCACCGTTCATATACGTATGTTCACTTTTATTATATACCATATGTAACTGCCACGCATTGCTGTGGCCAAACTTCCCTCCCTCTTTCTTTCCTTCCCTCTTCCCTTCCTTTCCTCTATTTCTTTCCCTTCCTATTTCTCTTCTTTCTTCCATCTCTACCTGTTTCTTTCCCCCCTTCTTTGCTCTTCGGTTGCATCCTTCCTTCCTTCCTTCCTTCCTTCCTTCCTTCCTTCCTTCCTTCCTTCCTTCCTTCCTTCCTTTCCCTGTGTCTTCCTTGATCTCCCTTCCCTCTCTTTTTCCTTTCACTTTTTTATTTCCTTCTCTCCTTCCTTGCTTCTCTTTCTTTCTTTCCTTTCTTCTTTCCCTCCCTCCTTGTCTCCTTCCTTCCCCCTTTCCCTCCTTCATTCCTTCCCTCTTTCCCTCGTTACTTCTTGACTGTCCCTTCCATTTAATTTGTATTATATAGTAATATTATACACACACACACACACTCATAACATATTATATAGTAATCTATATAACAATATATAAAATATTGTATTTATATCTTACATAGAAAGAAGGAAAGGAAGAAGGAAGGAAGGAGGGAAAGAAGGGAAGGAAAAGAAAGAAGGAGGGACAGGAAGGAAGGAAGGAAGGAAGGAAGGAAGGAAGGAAGGAAGGAAGGAAGGAAGGAAGGAAGGAAGGAAGGAAGGGAAGGAGGGGGAAAGAAAGGAGGGAGAGAAGGAAATGAAGGGGAAGGAAATGAAGAAAGGGAAAGAAGGAGGAAAGGAAGGGAGGGAGGAAGGAAAAGAAGGAAAGGAAGAAGAAAGGAGGGACAGGAAGGAAGGGAAGGAGGGATAGAAGGAAAGGAAGGAGAGGGAGGAGGGAAGGAAGGAAGGAAGGAAGGAAGGAAGGAAGGAAGGAAGGAAGAAGGAAGGAAGGAAGGAAGGAAGAAGGAAGGAAGGAAGAAAAGGAAAGAAAGGGAGGGAGGAAAGAAGGGAAGGGAGTCCTTTCGGGTGGAGTGTGGCAGAGGCAGCTACCTCCTGTGTGTGTGTGTGTGTTAAATGTGTACTCGTGTTGCCGGAGACAGACGAGCAGGTCAGACAGAAAGGAAAGAGTTAAAAAAGAAAGAAGGGTCTACAGAAAGTCCGCCCCCACCCGCTGGCTTCTTCCAACAGGGAAAGGTGGAGGAGGAGGAGGAGGAGGAGGAGGAGACCGCCCTCCTGGCATAGCAGGGAAAGAGAAGGGGCTCCATGCGGCAAGCCTCCCCCTCCACTCCCATGGTGCCCACTCTCGCTTGTGTGTGTGTGGGGGGGGGCATGCACACGCGCCTGGCTCCTCAAGCTTTAATGGCCGGCTGTTTCCCCGCGAGGAGGAGTTGGCATGGCCATGGGTCTCTTTGTAGACATGCAGTTTCTCCTTTGTGGACATGTAGTTCAGAAGAAGAGATCAAGAGAAGGTGGCGAGACTATACAGAAGATCTGTATAGAAAGGATAATAATATCAAGGATAGTTTTGACGGTGTGGTGAATGAATTAGAACCAGACATCCTGAGGAGTGAGGTTGAATGGGCCTTAAGAAGCATTGCTAACAACAAGGCAGCAGGAGACGACGGGATCCCAGCTGAACTGTTTAAAATCTTAAAAGATGATGCTGTCAAGGTGATGCATGCCATATGCCAGCAAATGTGGAAAATACAAGAATGGCCATCAGACTGGAAAAAATCAACTTACATCCCCATACCAAAAAAGGAAATGATAAAGAATGCTCAAACTTTCCGTACAGTGGCCCTTATTTCTCATGCCAGTAAGGTAATGCTCAAGATCCTGCAAGGAAGACTCCAGCAATACATGGAGCGAGAGTTGCCAGATGTTCAAGCTGGGTTTAGAAAAGGCAGAGGAACCAGAGACCAGATTGCCAATATCCGCTGGAGAATGGAGAAAGGCAGGGAGTTTCAGAAAAACATCTACTTCTGCTTCATTGACTATTCTAAAGCCTTTGACTGTGTGGATCATAATAAACTGTGGCAAGTTCTTGGTGGGATGGGCATCCCAAGCCACCTTCTCTCTCCTGAGGAATCTGTACAAGGACCAAGTAGCAACAGTAAGAACTGACCACGGAACAACAGACTGGTTCAAGATTGGGAAAGGCGTACGGCAAGGCTGCATACTCTCACCCAACCTTTTTAACTTGTATGCAGAACACATCATGCGAGGATGTGCGGGGCTTGATGAATGCAAAGCTGGGGTGAAAATTGCTGGAAGAAACATTAACAACCTCAGATATGCAGATGACACCACTCTGATGGCCGAAAGCAAGGAGGAGCTGAGGAGCCTTCTAATCAAGGTGAAAGAAGAAAGCGCAAAAGCCGGGTTGCAGCTAAACATAAAAAAAACCAAGATTATGGCAACAAGAATGATTGACAACTGGAAATAGAGGGAGAAAATGTGGAGGCCGTGACAGACTTTGTATTTCTAGGCGCAAAGATTACTGCAGATGCAGACTGTGGCCAGGAAATCAGAAGACGCTTACTTCTTGGGAGGAGAGCAATGTCCAGTCTTGATAAAATAGTAAAGAGTAGAGACATCACCCTGGCAACAAAGATCCGCCTAGTCAAAGCCATGGTATTCCCTGTAGTAACCTACGGATGTGAGAGCTGGACCTTAGGGAAGGCTGAGCGAAGGAAGATAGATGCTTTTGAACTGTGGTGTGGGAGGAAAGTTCTGAGAGTGCCTTGGACTGCGAGAAGATCCAACCAGTCCATCTCCAGGAAATAAAGCCCGACTCCTCACTGGAGGGAAGGATATTAGAGCAAAGATGAAGTACTTTGGCCACATCATGAGGAGACAGCAAAGCCTAGAGAAGACAATTATG